GACAATACCAAGTCAACGGTGCAATATCTTATGGAAACCATGAACCGGCAATTTGATGAGATGGCGCGCATGGTTCTCGCTCACCTGCCACCACCGCGGCCACGCGAGCATGCGCGACAGCACGACCGCGAGCGACCTGAAGGAGAGGATCGGCAGCGCGAGGAGTATGAGCGCGAGGACGACCTCGATCGACAGTCCCAGGCGTCCACCTACCGTAATCGGCGTGCACCCGACAAACCGCGCGTCACGTTGTCCACGTTCACGGGCAGTGATCCAGACGCAAGGCTCAATAAGGCGATACAATACTTTGAGCTCAATGAAACCGACGGTACAGATCGCGTCAGGTATGCCGCTTATTATCTCGATGGTGAGGCCAATGTATGGTGGCAATGGCTCACAAGGAATTATCGAAAGCGACAGCAAATCATCACTTGGGATGTTTTTGAAAGAGAGTTGCTTACACGGTTTGGTACATCTGATTACCACAACTACAACGATGCTCTCACACGCATACGGCAGACAGGCAGCCTACGCGAGTACATCAAGGAGTTCGAGCGGTTGGCCTGCCGCGTGCGTGATTGGCCCGAAGATGCGTTGGTCGGAGCATTTTTAGGAGGGTTAAAATTTGACCTAGCTGCAGAGGTCCGACTCGAAAGGCCAGATACCATGCACGATGCGATGGAGGTTGCCCGACGACGCGAAGATCACCTGGTCGCAACGCGAAGGGGATGGGCGGATGTGCGATTCGCGGACACGCGACGCACGGGATCGAACAAAGCCACGATCAGCGCACGGCCGAACGTCGGCAAACGGCCAGCAAGGTCGATAGTGAGGCGGCTGTCCCCCGAGGAAGTTAAACGTCGACGTGAGAAAGGCCTCCGCTTTAAGTGTGAGGAGAAGTTTACTCCCGGTCATCAATGCAAACAGGCCTTTGTAATTGAGGTGGCCAACCCCGATGATGAGGAAGCTGAGGTCGAGGAGGAACCACATCAAGAAGAGGAGATTGAAGCACTCCATGAGGAGCCTGAAATCTCGATGCATGCAATGGCTGGAATCAGAGGACCAAGGACGATGCGTCTACCAGCATGGGTCAAGGATCGAAGAGTAATTGTACTCGTAGACAACGGTTCGTCTCATAACTTCATCAATACTGATTTGTCTGAAAAGTTGAATTTGCCAACCACAAAAATTGAGCCCTTCGAAGTCCGAGTAGCCAATGGAGAAAGGCTAAAATGTACTGAGTCATTCCGGAAGGTGCCAATCAAGTTTAACGGAGTCACTGTGAAGGCCGATCTCTACGCCTTACCTTTAGTTGGACCGGATGTCGTTCTGGGGGTGCAATGGCTCGAGGGGTTAGGCAGGGTGACTACTGACTATCGAACAGGAATTATGGAATTAAACTCTGGAGGTCGACAAGTCACTCTGAGTACGGGCACCAAAAAAGGTACTAAGGAAGTAGGGCTGAAGAGCATCGAAAGAGTTTGGCGAGGTGGCGGCCAAATTTTTGCAGTAGTGGTCGAGAATACTAAGGCGCACGTAGATCGAGGTGAACAACAACAAGGTGATGTGCACGAGCTTCTTGAGGAATTCGAAGGAGTACTGGGCGAGCCTAAGGGACTACCACCACACCGAGAGTTCGATCATCGCATACCACTAATCAATGAGCAGCATGCCATACACGTCCATCCTTATAGGTATGCTCACTTTCAGAAAACCGAGATCGAACGACAAGTTGCCGAGATGCTTGAATCAGGACTAATCCAGCATAGCAAGAGTCCGTTTTCTTCCCCAGTCTTGCTAGCCAAGAAGAAAGACGGCACATGGAGGTTCTGTACTGACTACCGAGCTCTAAACGCTGCAACTATCAAGGACCGATTTCCTATCCCTAGCGTTGACGACATGCTCGATGAGTTAGCCGGGTCACGCTACTTCTCAAAACTCAACCTAAGAGCTGGTTACCATCAGATTCGGCTCCAAAAAGCCGACATTCCAAAGATAGCATTTCGTATGCGCCAGGGGCATTATGAGTATCTGGTTATGCCATTCAGATTGTGCAACGCCCCATCCACTTTCCAGTTCGCCATGAATTCCATCTTCAAGGAGTATCTGCGTAAGTTCGTTCTGGTATTCTTTGATGATATCCTGATATATTCAAAGTCATGGGGTGAACACCTTGGGCATTTGAGAGTAGTGCTCGAAATTCTGGAGGCCAACTCATTCCATATCAAGCCATCCAAATGTTCGTTTGGGCAGAAGGTGGTTGAGTATCTAGGGCACTTCATATCACACGAGGGCGTGAAGGTTGATCCACGAAAAATTGAGGCTATGGTCGATTGGCCTAAACCAACAAGTCTCACGCAGTTGAGAGGATTTCTAGGACTCACGGGCTATTACAGAAAGTTCGTGAAGGATTATAGAACCATCGCCAAGCCATTGACAGAGATGACTAAGAAAGGTGGGTTCACATGGACCAAAGCTAGCGAGGAGGCGTTTGGGAAACTGAAAGAAGCCATGACTACAACGCCAGTGCTCGCCATGCCAAGGTTCGATGTCTTGTTTGAGGTACACACCTATGTGAGTGACATTGGGATTGGAGCTGTGTTAGTGCAAGAGGGACGACCCTTAGCTTATCTCAGCAAAGCACTAGGTACTACACGATTGGGTCTATCGGTGTACGTGAAGGAGATGCTAGCAGTTGTCGAGGTTGTAAGATGCTGGAGGCCTTATCTATTAGGCCGACGTTTTCAGATTGTTACCGACCAGCAACCGCTTAAGCATCTATTGGAGCAAAGGATCGTTACCCCGGAGCAACAGAAGTTCGTATCTAAGCTGTGGGGTTTGACTTTGAGATAATCTATCGACCGGGTCGACAGAATGCAGTAGCTGACGCACTATCCCGACCAACGGATGTAGCCGAGCTGAATGCTATCACTGGGCCATCTTGGACTATTTGGGAGGAAATCAGGAAGGCGCAAGTGGAGGACACCTATTGCCAGCAGCTGCGCCAATCGATCGAAGCAGGTAAGACAACTGCTATCGACTACCAGTTGCATAATGGTCTGCTTCTACACCGAGGCTGAGTATTCGTTCCCAACAGTGGGCAGTTACATGAGCAGATCATGCAGCACTTCCATGACTCTAAAATTGGAGGCCACTCGGGTGTCTACCGCACGTGGATGAGAATAGCCAACACCTTCTTCTGGTCCGGACAACAGGGTACCGTCCGAGACTACATAGCACGGTGCAACGAATGCCAGCGCACTAAGTCTGACTCACGACGACCGAGCGAGCTGTTGCAACCTCTACCGGTACCCGAGGCAATCTGGGAAGACATTACTATGGATTTCATTGAGGGGCTACCGAATGCTAATGGATTTGATGGTGTTATGGTTGTAGTGGATCGTCTCACAAAGTATGCTCACTTCATACCCATTACCCATCCTTACACCGCGAAGTCGATTGCCAGGTTATTTGTGGAGTACGTAATGAAACTGCATTGAGCACCGCGATCCATCGTCTCTGATCGAGACCGAATTTTCATGAGCAGCTTTTGGTCTGAATTCTTCAAATTGCAAGGGACTAAGTTGTCTATGAGCTCAGCCTACCACCCGCAGATAGACGGACAAACTGAGGTAACCAACTGAACCCTTGAGCAGTATTTGAGATGCTACGTCCATCAATTCCCGAAGCGGTAGGAAAACTTTTTTCCTTGGGCTGAGTATTGGTACAACACCACTTACCACGAGTCGACCAAGATGACGCCGTTTGAGTTGGTATACGGGCGAAAACCCCCTAACAACGAAGTTGGTCGAGAGCTAGAGGAACGAGATCTAATGTTGCGAGAATTGAAGAAAAATCTCGAAGGCTCAATCAATTGAACCAAAGCCTTCCCAGATGGGAAAAGGCGTGAGGAAAATTTTGCACCAGGCGAGTATGTCTACCTGAAGTTACGACCATTCAGACAGCGCACCGCGGCACAAAGGGCCTCAACTAAACTGGACGTTCGTTATTACGGGCCTTATCAGATTCTAAAGCACATTGGTCAGGTAGCTTACCGTCTAGAGTTACCAGAAAGTTCACAAATCCACCCAGTTATCCATGTTTTGCAACTCAAGAGGAGCTTAGGAGAAGCGCATAAGTATTGTGAGGAGTTGCCTGCAACCGCAACCGATGGTAGGGCCATAGTACGCCCAAAACGAGCGATTGAGTACCGTAAGGTAAAGAGAGCAGGGCGCTACCGTTGGGAAGTACTAGTTGACTGGGAAGAGTTGCCATCTGAAGAAGCCACGTGGGAAGATCTTGAAGAGATGCGCGATCAGTTCCCGAACTTAATCCTTGGGGACAAGGACTCACTTGAAGGGGACGGGAATGATGCGGAAGTGGCTAGGCAGCTCAAGAACACCGCAAGTCGAGCCTACCATGCACGAAGGAGACAAGCACGGGTGACGGCGGAAGTACGCGCATTAACAGGCAAGAATGGGTCGCGCACGGATGGCGTGCATGGAGAAGATGGGCAGGACGCGCAGGCCGCTGTGCTGGCCAGCGCGATCGCGGAAGGTTCGCGTAGCGATGAAGCACGCGCATCCTCATACCTCGAGGTATGCGGAATGGTGAGGAGTCATGCGAGCGAGGAGGCAGCCGGGGGCGAAAGCGCGCGCGATACGCTGGACGGGGCAGCACGCGCGATGCGCGAGGCCATACTCCTAGAGGAATGCGGAGTGGCGCAGCAGCACGCGCGCGGTAGGGCGTGCGAGGCGGTGCGCCAAAGGCGGTGCGCGCGAGGGGCCGAAGGTTGGAGGCGGTGGAAGACTTGGAGTGCACACCAAGATAATTAGTTTCCAACTAGAATTATAATTAGGACACTTAATATTTTATTGCTTTATTTGATCCCTAGGTAGATTAGGCTTAGATATAATTTTGTGCCTATATAAAGGCCCTTCCCCCATGTTATATTGAATCATCCAAGAAATCAATAGAAATCTAGAACTTTGTTCTTCCAACTTTGCTTTAGTCTTTTCACCAGAATACTATTGCAATTTTATCATTTCAATAGGCGCGGTTGTGGCTTGAGAAACACTATCGGCAATTTAAGGCGCGGGTTCACGGCTTATCAGCAATTGAAACACACGATCCTCATCAGCGCGCGATGGCGCACGCGTACGAGATGGACGACCCAAGCCGCGCGGGCTTAGGAGTACCGGATGGCGAGGAGCACGCGCAGAAAGAGGGCGGCGCATGCTTGGGGCGCACGATGGCGCGCGCGTGCGAAACGGACGAAGCGCGCAAGTCCGCGTGCGCCAAGGACTAGGAAAGCCGACGGGCAACGTGCGCGCAATAAGGCGGCCGAGTACTTAGGGGCGTAAATTTGGAATTGTTTGGAGTGCAAGCCAAGCAAGATCAAGACAATCAAGTTAATTAGGACTCTAGATATTTAGTTTCCTTCTTGCACAATAGTATCTAGAATGTTTAGGCTATTAAATATTTAATTGCTTTAATTAGAGATTTAGTAGTATTAGGATTTATTTACTGCACAGTTTATAGAGATTTAGTTGGAGTAGGATTAGTCATAGTTAGGATCTATAAATAGGGAGCATCCCTCATTGTTTTTGATGTCCAGAATTGATGAGTTGAATAGAAAAGAACGTTTGTTTGAAACCGTGTGTTAGGATTCGTGAGAGTTCGATCATGCAATCGAATTGGTGAGGCTAAGACCCAAGCCAGTTCAATCGAGTTAGAGAGGCTAAGACCCGATCTCGTTCAAAAGAGTGAGCGAGGCTAAGACCCGAGTGAACTCAAGTATCGTGAGAGAGTTAGGCTAATAACCGAGTCGATCACACCTATCGTCGAGAGCAAGGCCGTGGCGAAGCCATGATCGAGACAAGTCGAGGGTAATGGAACACATGATCCTTCATCATTGGTGCTTTCATTGAGAGTAATTGATTGTGTGTTCGTTAACATTTCCTATCCCATCCTTTTTTTTTGTTCGAAATTTTTGGTTCTTTTTTGTTCGATATTTTTCGACTTTTATCCTCTAATTTTCGAAAAATTTCGTAAGTATAAAAAAAAAAGTGTCATCTAGTCCTTTGTTTGATTTTTGTTCGGTTATTACCTTTTGTTGAGGGGCTGAATTTCTTTTGTTTATTTTTTTTTTGTTCGGCTTATTTTTTGATTTTTTTTAGAGTCTAAAAAAAAATGTCTTATGTGCCAATGGATGAGATGGATTGGAAAGATCTCGAGTTATTGGAGTGTTTGGAGAGGGAACTCACCCCATGGGAAAGCACGTATCTAGACGAACTCCATGAGCGAAGAAATCGAGAAGAATACGAGCGACAACTCGTAGAAGGCCGAGGAGCAATGGAGGGTGAAGTTCAAAACCGTGAAGATGATGGTGTGCTGAATTTTCTAATCCTTGAGGACAAGGAAAGTCTTGAAGAGGAGGGGAATGATACGGAAGTGGTTATCAACCCAGGCGAGTCCGACGAGGAAGGTGACGATGGTCTCGATATATGTCTGGAGAACATGTTGGAAGAGCCATCAAGACCGATATATCGACCTTCATGCAAAAGAGACTGGCCGAAAGGATGTGGTCCACGGACTAAGCTAAAGCCTAAGAAGAGCAAGACCAAACGAGCCCGGGGGAAACGCAAGGCGAAGGCTAAGGAATCATGTTGTTGGTGCAAGCCATCCACAAGAAAGAGACGAACAAGGAAGAAGGAGGCTAGAAGGAGTGGTTTGCGATGGGTTGACAAAGGGTGGTGGATACCGGTGGATGATTGTGAGAGGTTGAAGGGTTGGGACCCATGGCCCGAGCCGACGGAGACGAGCGGCAACAAGGAGGGCGACGGCGATCGGCTGATGGGCGAATGGCACGCATCATCCCATGATGCGCGTGGTTGGAAAGAGCAGGATGATGTACGAGGGTGCATGATAGGCGGGCAAGTCACGGACGTCAACTGGGACGCGTTGGCATTCGGTGGCGTAACGACGGGGCGCGAAAGACACGCGGATGGGTAGTTTGCGGGAGAGAGCGGTACGAGCAATGTCGCGGGTGCACAGGGGTGCGCCGTAAGCGATTGGGACTCAGACAGTAGCCAGGACACGCGCAAGGCGGACAACGATGAGGTGGCGCACGCATGGGCGCGCGAGTGGAGTCTGGACGCAGGCGGGGACCTAAGCCTCGGAGGCTTAGGAATACGGAAGGTACACGCGCGCGAGATAGGCGGCGAGCGCGGGGAGCGCGTGATGGCGCGCGCGTACGAGACGGACGACCCAAGCCGCGAGGGCTTAGGAGTACCGGATGGCGAGGAGCATGCGCAGAAAGAGGGCGGCGCATACTTGGGGCACACGATGGCGCGCGCATGCGAAACGGACGAAGCGCGCATGTCCGCGTGCGCCAAGGACTAGGAAAGCCGACGGGCGACGTGCGCGCAATAAGGCGGCCGAGTACTTAGGGGCGTAAATTTGGAATTGTTTGGAGTGCAAGCCAAGATAGATCAAGACAATCAAGTTAATTAGGACTCTAGATATTTAGTTTCCTTCTTGCACAATAGTATCTAGAATGTTTAGGCTATTAAATATTTAATTGCTTTAATTAGAGATTTAGTAGTATTAGGATTTATTTACTGCACAGTTTATAGAGATTTAGTTGGAGTAGGATTAGTCATAGTTAGGATCTATAAATAGGGAGCATCCCTCATTGTTTTTGATGTCCAGAATTGATGAGTTGAATAGAAAAGAACGTTTGTTCGAAACTGTGTGTTAGGATTCGTGAGAGTTCGATCATGCAATCGAATTGGTGAGGCTAAGACCCAAGCCAGTTCAAACGAGTTAGAGAGGCTAAGACCCGATCTAGTTCAAAAGAGTGAGCGAGGCTAAGGCCCGAGTGAACTCAAGTATCGTGAGAGAGTTAGGCTAATAACCGAGTCGATCACACCTATCGTCGAGAGCAAGGCCGTGGCGAAGCCGTCGAGAAAAGTCGAGGGTAACGGAACACACGATCCTTCATCAGTCAGCCAGCGCGGACAGGCAGCGTGTGCGTGCATGCCGCGAGGCGTCGCGCACAGCCCTGCCCGCAGCAGTAGTCGCTGGCAGTGTGATGAAGGATCGTGTGTTCCGTTACCCTCGACTTGTCTGATCACGGCTTCGCCACGGCCTTGCTCTCGACGATAGGTGTGATCGACTCGATTATTAGCCTAACTCTCTCACGATACTTGAGTTCACTCGGGTCTTAGCCTCGCTACACT